ACCGTTAGGTGGTGCTGGGTTTTCAGCCTGGGCGTCCCCAGGTCAGTGACGGTGATGGTGATGTTGTACTCGGCCTGGCTCTCTCTGTCCAGCGCTCCTTCAGTTACTAAAGTGTAGAAATTTTCTACAGTAAGTTTCAGAAGGAAGGGGAGATGGTCTTGGATGGAACACATCATTTTGCCATTTTCCCCGGAGTCTGGATCTGAAATTCCAAAAATAGCGACCACTGTATCAGGGGTGTTTTCTGGGATATCACTGGTGAATACTGACATAGTCAGTTCGGGCGTGTTGTCGTTTACATCCATCACTTCTATGGCTACAGAGCATTTTCCTGATAGTCCCCCGCCATCTGAAGCCTCAATTTCCATACGGTAAGATTGAATTTCCTCAAAATCCAACATTTTTTTTAATCGAATTTCCCCTGTGACTACGTTTATGTCAAAGGCCTGAATCACTTGATTTGAGGATTGGAAAAATGAGTAGGAGAGCTCTCCAAGGGTCCCAGCATCTAAATCTCTAGCAGTCACAGTGATGACAAGGGACCCTATAGGGCTGTTCTCTGGGATTTGCACCTCATAGAGCAGCTGAGCAAACTCAGGAGCATTATCATTTATGTCCAAGACTACGATGAGAACCTGAGAAGTCCCAGTTCTAGGCGGTGACCCACCATCCAGGGCCATGAGCGTTAACCTGAGCTCTGACTCCTCTTCCCGGTCCAGCGCTTTGTCCAGCACCAGCTCAGGGTATCTCCTGCCATCGCTGTGATTTCGAGTGAAAAGGTGGAAATGGGAGTTGGTGCTAATAGTGTAGTTCTGAACTGTGTTACTGCCCACGTCTAAATCTTGAGCTATTTTCAAAGGAAATGCAGTCCCTGGATGGTTGCTTTCTGAGATTTTCAGGAGGATTTCATTTTCCAGGAATTCTGGGGCATGGTCATTTATGTCTCGTAGCTGTAGTTCACCTTTAATAAACTGCACTGGGCTTTTTAATAAGACCTGGAAATGCAGTATACATGGATCTGTGTCACCGCACAACTCTTCCCGGTCCAATTTTTCTTTTAGGAGCAAATTCCCACTCTTCTGCTCGAGCTGCAAATACTGTTGATTCCCTTTGGAAAGAATTCGAGCACCCCGCGCAGCCAGCTCCCCCAAGCCAAGCCCCAGATCTTTCGCGAGGTTGGCCACAAAGGTGCCGCTTTCCCTCTCTTCTAGAACCGAATACTTAATGGTCGTACTGCCCACTTCCCACCGTATTAACAGTATTAGGATAATAATGGAGGTCACTTGCCTTTTCTGCAGCGCTTTGGGTAGCATTGTCTCCATCGTTCTTCGGCGTCCAAAAGATGCAGTATTTAATCACAAAATAATTGCTGTGCAGCCAACTCTACTATCTTCATTCAATAATCTTGAGTTAGTTCCTAACATTGACTGACATGGGGACAGCGGCCTCTCTGAAACCTACTATCGCCCAAGAGTGTAAAACCTTTCCTTTTCAAGTAGCCGGAAACTGCTCAGCTGTTACAGAGGCTGCAGAGTTTTTCACTTTCTTAGCCTGCAGCGCCACCAAGCGTCCTGCCTTACAACTTCAGTTTTTGGTTTTTTGGGTGGGTTTTTTGTTGTTTTTCATTTCAAAGCATCATGCAACAGTGAAAACAAAAAGAAAGCCTTTTGGGTTATAAACTCCACTCCACCCCACTGTGCGGTATTCTTCAGGTAGCTAACAATATTTGTGAGAGCAAAAGTAATACTTACATATCTATATCTATATTCATCTTCCTTAAAAGTACAAGTTCAGTATACAAAACTCTGCTCAAGACAAATTCATTTATTCATTTAACCAGTATTTCTCTATGCAGGCAATTTTCTAGCTTCTGGAGATAAAATGGTAAATTAAACACAAAATTCTTGCTCTTGGGTGCTTACATTCAATTACAAAAAATTTGCTGTATTGTGTTAGAAGAAGTTATGAATTTTAAAATCCACTTTCTACTCCCAAATTGCAATGTGCCTGTAACTCCTGAAAAATTTTTTAAATGTGATTTCTTGTCAGTCTCTGGGCAATTTTTTCCTTTGTAAATTCACTCTGTGCAATGCCCAGTAAGACTAAGAGGAGATGGCCATTTGTTTTGTTAGAAATCAATGTAAGTTCAGAATTCAGACAATGTCTTTTCTACAAACATGTAGAAGGCAAAAAATTCAATGGAGTCAAAGATATACTTTCTTGGGAAGGGTTTTGATCTGTCAACATTGGACAGTGGCCCATCCCAGGGTACATCCCCTGGGACTATGGAAATGGGTATATTGAAAAACACCACGGCACCAACTAAAGTCAAGTGGTTGCAGTGACACTAGCAGGAAAAGTAGTTTCCCCCAGAGAAGAATGCTTTTCCAAGGAGGAGGGATAAGTATCTAAGAATACAAAACAGTAAGTGTTCCCTATAGTCATTGTACCAACTGGTAATCATCTATGACAGTTCACTTATTTGGACACAAACCTCAGCCAAATATAATTTAGTTAAGCCTAGTTCCATTTTAATTAAGGATAAGAATAAAATATTCACTCAGCTATCAGTTTAGTATAAATTACCTGACTTCGATGGAGAGTTGAAAAGAGAAATTTTTCTTAAGATACTACAAATAAAGCCAACACAAGACAAATATGGCCTAAACTGTGAAAGTAAATGATTTTACGATTAATAAAGATTAATGATACTTACACAGCACTTTATTTATGACATTACCTAATAACCTGCCATTAATTACTTAGTTCTTGGCAGGTATCACACATGTAGAAGCTTGAGAAACTAGGAGGAAGAGTTTGAAAAATATAATTTGGGTTTTATTAAATAATACATTTTAAGGAGCACCTGAGTGACTCAGTCGGTTAAATGTCTGCCTTCAGCTCAGGTCCTAATCCCAGGGTCCTGGGATCGAAACCTATAGCTTGCTTCTCCCTCTCCCTCTGGTTTCTTCTCCCCCTCCCTCTGCCTGCTCCCCCTCCCTCTGCCTGCTGCTCCCCCTGCTTGTGCTCTCTCTTCCTCAAATAAATAAATAAAAACTTTAAAAATATACATTTGAACTTTCAAATTGATGGACAAAGACAAGGAGATAAAATGTACTCTCAACATTTTATATTCTGTAATAGAGTTTAGGGTGTGTGGAGGGTGGTTTCCGTTTAGAAAGAAAGTAAAAGAATGATATTTAATTTCACTTATTGACAAAGGTAATGCATTGTGGAGAGAATATTAACATTTTTCTATATTCCTTGAAAATAAACCTTTGAAATTCACTGTTGGAATGTTAATAACATTCATCAAATATTTATTATGCATTTATAACTGACTTGGTATTATTTAAAAATACTATCATAAGCTTACATGCAGCTCACAAACTGGAGTTTAATTTATTGACACTTTTGTGCAAAGTTTATATGCATAGAAAAATGTATTGACTATTATGGTATATTGAAATACACATAAATATGAATGGTTGCCTTAGCATTTAGCCATCTTTTAGTGTTTATCTTTAATTATTCACATTGTAGCCATTACCCCAAAATGAGACTTTCACTGGCAGATTAAGTAATATCAAACACTCACATTTTATTTTATGTTTTTAAAGTAGGCTCTATGCCCAGTGTGGGGCTTGACCTCACCACCGAGATAAAGAGTTGCATTTTCTACCAACTGAGCCAGCCAGGCACCCCCAAACACTCACACTTTAAAAATTTCCCTACATGGTAATGGTGATGACAGTTGTCACCAATAGTTAGATATACAATCTTACTTAAGGGCTTTGTATTACAATTTTTCTAAGACGAATAGATGATTAAATTTCAAAAATTTTAAATTATGCAAATAAAAATTTACTTTTTATTCGGATTGTCAAATATAGTTGAGAGTAATACAAATCTACTAAGCATGATATAGGGAAAACACTGTACATACCCAGTATCTGATTTTTTTTCAACCTAAGGAAGTGTAGTAAAATAATTAAAAAACAAACTATCGATAACATTTAACTAAGTTAAAAGATTTTCAAACTAAGTAGCGCTTAATAGGATAATCCAATACTTAACTGAATAGGAAACTATCACGAACCATGGGGTTTTCCTCAATTTCCTTTCCAGTGCCCTGAGGAGGGAAGTTGGGAATAATGGGCTTGAGGAACTTGAACTCTCTGGTCCCAGATCCTCCCGTCAGACACACCTCGTACTGGTAGCTGTGCGACAGGGTCCCCGCGCCGCTGACGTCCACCAGGTGGCCCGCAAAGGGGCCCTCGGGCACCGAGCAGCCGCCCCCCGACGC